ATGAGGAAAAATTTCGAAACGCTTACTTGCAGTTGTTTTTGCTTAGAACTACAGAATTCAAAACAGGATTTTTGAAAATGGAATATATATCTGTTTCTAAAATATTTTAAAAAATTTAAATATGTTTTATGACCATGACAATTAATGAGCAACAAAACAAACTATATTATAAGACAAAACTTAAAACAGTATGGGCTTTGTCAAGTCTGTATCAGTTTTCTGTGCACATTTTTCATTGACTTAAATGTTAGGCCACAGCTTTTCATATATTATAAAAATTTCAGTCAAAATATGCGAGGAAAAAGCACAATGAAGAATTCATAGATAGCGAGTCAGCAAATAACAGCTATATGCATATATCTAAATTGATCTATCCGTGATTCTAGAAATCTCTCTCTCCAATATAAGCATGATACATGTAAGCATTTAAAGCAATATTTTAAAAAATACATAAAAGTTTTGTAAACTTTAACAAACAATTATTGAGTTATAAAAGACTTTTATTTTATGTTAAACTTTAAAACAATATGGGCTTTGTCAAGATAGTTTTAATTTCTCATGTACAATACGCTGTTCAATAACGCACATTTTTAATTAATTTGAACGTTAGATTACAGCTCTTTATAAAAAAAAAAATTTCAATGAAAATTAACAATCAAGCAATCGCAGATAGCAAATCAACAAATAACAGCTAAATACGTACATCTAAATCAATCTATCCATAATTCAAAAAGTTTAATATTCTTAAGAACATGTAAGCTTTTAAAGCACTATTACAACATCTTACACGAAGGAGCACATTTAATTAACTTTAAAAAAGCACCTTCATTCTTTGTTACTTAAGCCACTGGGGTAACTTAAGGCACTTTTGCAGAGTCAAATTTAGATGCTGATTTAAGCGATATTGTTTAGATTTAGAATGTTCAATTTCATACCGTAAGTTTGTTTCACAAATGTTTTAGATCTCTATTTTAATTAGTTTATGTTTAATGTGTTAATAACTTTTTATTTAATGTGTAAATATGGTTATATTTAGTGTTAAATTATGTATGTTTAAATAAGTTTATAAATCTTTACTCTCGTTTGATATACTTTCAGAGAACTTAAAACACCTCATAAATTACATATTTTTAACGCTACCTATAACCACTTTTAAACATAACCTCAATCGATCCTTTTATGGTTGGTATACAAAACTGATTATATTTCTATTTAACTTTACATTTTTTAATAAGTTAAATATTAAACACTTTTTAATTTGACCTAACAATTTTTTTTGTATTTTTGTTAGTCTATAATGTTGTAATCGATAAAATACATAACAGGCAAAAAGTTTATTGTTTCTAAAAAATGCATGACTTTGTTTTAACTCTAAATAATCGAAACAGAATAGTTTTCAACTAATGCAATCACATAAATTAGAAAGATAAATAAGGTTTTTGCATAAACTTATTACTTAAACTTCAGAAGACAAAAATGTTAAATAAAAGAACTTTCTCGGCTTCAATTATAGGTGCTAAATAAGTGTACATTTATTTTAGAGATTTGTTACCTCGTCACCAAACATTAAACTCTTATTGCTGTCAATTGTAGGGTAACTTAGACCCACTTGTTTAGCCCTTTGAGGTAGAGTTTCTATTAAATATATTTTACATGCTTTATTATTTTGTTTTATATTAGGTCAAAATAAATGAAAATTATTATGTTTAGCATTTTAATAATTTATGGTTATGAAATACAGCATGAAACACCAGTGTCTTTTCTGTGTTAAAAGTAAAGTTTTAAAAACACAGCTAGGTTCAAAAAAATCTTCCGAATATGCACTTATTTGCAGTTATTTAGATTTAAGCGAAACAATTATGCAACAATAAAATTTCTCTATTTTACAAAATCAATTGATAATTTGATCAATCAATTGATAAATTTTTGAATAAGAATGAAAAAAATTTAAAACTACTTTTTTGGATTTTACATTTTGGTACAAATATAATTTTGATAATCAAACAGATTTAATATGTTTTTTTTTAATTAAAAAATACCCAAATAAGTTTTTGTCTGTAATTAGAATGTCAGAAAAAATATATAAAAGAGACACTGGAATCACATCTGTGTTAACGTTTTATTATTAGGCTTTAGAAATTTTCCATACTAGTAAAACATATAATGTTTTACAAATATGCAGTTATTTTATCTACAAACTGAAATCCTACAACAATTTATTACCTCTAAATTGAATGTCTTAACTTGAAAAGTGGCTTAAGTAACTATAATTGCACATTACAATCAAAATATACTTTTAGTTTATAGCACAGGAACAACCTATAAAAGACAATTTCAGAAATACACGAGAAATTTCCATTTTAGATATATTATAAAGAATATATGATTGTCTTAGAATTATTAAAAGTTTATCATATTAAACATAGATTAAGAAATCTTTAAGATCAACTAATGAAAAAATAAATAAATTTTTAATGAGTCAACTGTATTTAATTACAAATAAAAACATCTTTTTAACACATAAGAAACATAATCACAATAGTTATCATAGAAAGTAATACACTATTCCTTATTTTATCTACAATATATACTCATTTCATGTAGTGTAAATACATCCAATCATCTAATTACAGTCATTATCTAACTATTGCATCATATTTTAATAAAAAACTTAATAAAAAAGAGGTTTATAAAATGAAACAAGAAAAAAAACAGAACATTTCATATTTATTTATATATATATATATATTTATTTCACAAAAAAAGAAAGATTTTATTATTTCTAAAAATGAAAATAAAAATAAACTTTTAGTATGGATTTTAACAAAAACAATAAAAATAGATAAATAAATACCCTTTCTCACATCAACTCATGATAAATTTAGATTTAAAACAGAAAAAGACAATGATTTTTTGTAATTCTTGGGACAATATTATTTTTAAACACATGAAAAACTTGCATGCAATAACATAATTTATGAAATCATTATCATTACATTGTTGTCAAAGATGTGCCAACAGTAAATGAATCTATACTCTCACTAATATTAAATAAATGATAAATAAAATGACAAATAAAATAAAACATTCAAAAAAACCTTTCACTAATTATCTAATTTTTTTTAAATGCATATATTTTAAGAATTCAAGCCTAGTCATAATTAGTGAATATGATTAACGTCAATGCAAGATATACTGGCATTCCATAAAAAGTCTAGTCATTGCAAAGAATATTAATCGTTTTTAGACAAAGCATGAAACTTAAAACTGTATACTACAGTCTGCCTTGTCATTTTTTTAGAATACCTGCAAAACATTATATGAATATATAAAATGTTGGCATTCTTTAGAATGCCTTGTCATAGCATAGCATTATTAAGTATATCTTTAAGCAAAGTATAAAGTATGAGAATTATTATATGCCCAGCCTAGTCATTCCATAGTATGCCTGTAAGTCAATGTATGGAATACTGGCAATCTATAGAATGTTTAGTCATTGTCCAGAATGTCTGGTGTTAATATATAAGATTTATTATATACTTTTCCAAGCCATTTTAAATAATGCCAGTAGCCTTTTCATTACTAATTATATATGTGGAGGCAAAGTGTGAAATATAGATCGTTTCATACTTTGCTAGTCCATTAAAGGCATTCTATGTTGAATGATGGAATTCATACATAATACATAAATTTTTGCAACACGATTTATTCTTCAAATTTTTAAAAAAAAAATTTAAATAGTGATGATATTAAAAAAAGAGAAGAAAAAAATTTTAATTAAAATATTTTACAAAAATAGTTTTTTTAAACAAATTTTTGTTCTGTATGCCTGTTTTGAAACTTAGCAGTTTTAGTTGTAGAAAGTCATACCTGTTTCATCTCTGAATAGCAAAACCAGTTACCTCAGTTTATAAGATAGAGAAACAGTGTATAGGGGAAAAAACATTATCCCTTGTGCAATAACCAGAGAGTTAACATTTCTGCAACTGTCTGTTAGCCAACAGACAGCATGTTATTTAATAACCTAATTCTTAATACTAAGTTCATTGTAGTTTCCTCAAAGCTGCCTTCTTTAACAATTGAACAGGCAAAAAATTTTCACCTGCTAATTTTAATGACTGTTCTTGAAATAATTTAAAAGCATTTGGAAAATAATTTTAAAAAAATAAAAATTTTATGTATTCAAAAAAAAAATAAACAGTTTAAAGTTAAATCTTACTACCAAAATACAGGGTGCAAAGCCAAATCTTTCAACAAAAAATAAGCACCTTCAAAGTACTTTTTAAGCATTATATACATTAACAAAATAATTTTCAAAAGACTTTACATGATCAACATAAAATAACTAGTTTATGACAAAAAAAACTCTTTGCTTGATTATATAAGCCATTATAAAATGATCAAGAGGTTTTTCGGTTCGATATCAGAGGGTGGAAAATGAAGTCCGAAATGGAGAATATCTTGCAAAATGAAGCAGAGTTGCACATGAGAGGGCCAGAATCTCACCAAACTCAGCTCAGTGGACACACATACTGACTCGCAAATATTTCATCAAGCATGTAAAATGATTGACGCGTTCATACGCTATGGACCGATGGTACTCCAAAATGGATTGTGGTTGAATGAATTGTGAAGATGTTGAATAGAACAATGTGAAAAGCACGCAAATTTCATTTTCAAAAAAGGAAAATTAAGCCCTTTTAAAAAACACCCAATGAAAAAAGCACCTTTAAGGGCTTTTAAATTATGAAAATCAAAAATAAGCACCTTTAAGCACTTTTTAAAAACGCTACGCACCATGAAATAGCCATTCAAAATTTTCCTAAAATTAAATACATAAAGCTTCAACAATCTCAAGCTTAGACTATTTTCTTGAAACAAATGCCAGTTCTCTTCAAAATTAGGAATACTGTTTGCATTTAAAAACTATTTTAAATATATATGATTCGAAAACATTTTATAAAAATGAGAAGTTCTAAAAAGACTTTAAGAAAGAAAAATTCAAAACAAATACATGTTTATTAAATATCTAAGCAAAACTAGAAATATTATTTATAATTTTTATGAGAAAATTTAAAAACAACTAGGTATACAGTTTTAAACTTAGTCTGGATACAGTTTTAACAACTATACAGTTTTAACAGTCTAAATTAAAATTTTAAAAAAGTTTACAACTGCAAAAATATTTTAATATTAACTTAATTAGCAGAAACTAAAGCAAAATATACAAATATTTATAAGGAATATGCAAGAACAATTAAAAAAAATAATAATAATAAAGACAAATTCCAAATGGAAATTTTAAAAAAAATTGTAAGGACAATAATGATGGATGTAAAATTGAGAATTTCATACAATAATGTAATTAATACTACACCAAAATAATGGCATTTGTAATTATTGTAAGAAATCTAGCAGTAAGGTAATAATAGTGAAAGAGTTAAGCTGTGGATATCGTTCAATAATTTAAAAAAAACTCATTTTAAATATTCATATTTATTTTAAGAAATCGCACATTAAGATAATAAAAATGAGCAATCATTTGCAAAAACTAGTTATTACATCATGTTATTAAAAATATTGCATATAATTGTGATAGAATTTGCACATAATTGCATAACTTTTTGATTCACACAAGCCCCTTAATGCAATATTAAATAAATTTACAAAATATTGTAGAGATTTGTAAAAAAGTATATAAACACTAGAATCAATATTTAGGGAAGTAAGTGATTACTAGATGTCATAAATTTTATAGAAAATACAATGATTGAAAATAATGTCAGCAAAGTTATAAATAAAAAATGCGAAGATGCCAACAATTATCGAAAATATAACCATTTCAAAAGGACTCAAATTTGGCTAGGTCGCTCGTTTCAACTTTTTACATAAAATTCTCAAAGAGCATGACTAAATAGATGGTATTTGAGATGTTGAGCAGTAATATTTTAAAACATAATAAAAATATATGATGCGCCAATTAAAAATCACTTAACGTTTCAAATATTAGATTTCATTAAAAAATGTACCAGGTCAGATTTCATAAAAAATTCATTATTTCACCTTTCTTTAACATTCCAAAAACATTTTAAGTAAAAAAGCAATACAAATAATTACATAACACAACATAAAAACTGTAGTTCAGACAGAAAGTATGCATGAGTGAGGTTTTTTATACTCTGAGCATTTGACAAAATTTTTTCTTGGTTGCTTTTCTGCGTGACAAACAGATTTTTCTAATATTTTTAAATGGTATTGTGCTAAAAATTCTGTACAACTTACCCAGATGTTTCGAAAAATTGAGGGTTAAATTTGAAAAATTATGCTTCAAATAACATAAATCTCTTATTACAAAAACATTATTAATTGTGTACAGTTAAATTATATGTTACTTAAGATTATTTGCAAAAAAATTAGTTAACTATTCAATACATTTTCGGTCAGAATTTCTAAATTAAAATTAACTTTTTTACTACACCACTATATACAATATTACAATATATGTACTATATGTTTAGAAAAAATTAAAACCATGAAACCCTATAACACATAATCTTTATTCTCAACTCATTTAGAAACTATTTAATTCTGGGTTATGCTCAATGGGATTCTTATTTAAAAATTTGAAAAACATAAAAATTCCAACAAAATATCTAATGACATATTTCAAAAACACACCTTAGCAAACACAACTTAGCTCAGCAAAACACACTTAGCTCAATTTCAATCCTGAATGATCTCAAAAAATATTAACTCTTAATAAATATTGACATTTTTGTTCAGAATTTTAGAGAAAAAACATATTAAATCATTTTAGCACATACTGTGTTTGAAGAAAATTACTTTATAATGCAAAAAATATTTTGTAATAGAAAACACGTTCGATATAAACTTTTGAAGAATAATGCATGATTTAATAAGTATTAATAGAATTTCAACTATCATCAATAAAATGACATAAAGATACAATTTGGCAGAAAATGAAATGAAAATTTATGCAATAATGCATACAAGCATTAACAAGATAAGGCACAGTTACATAAACTCTGCAGACAAATGAGGTTTTTGAGCCAACCAAATTGCACATAAAAATTAAAGCATTTTTTTCAAAATTCATTGCTTAAAAGTCACTTGGACACATTGGAAGAATATCACTTCCAAATAAGCTGCTTTCATAAAAAATAGCTATCATCATAAATATTGCATACCAGATAAGAAGAATTATACCATATTTCCTGTCCAATACCCATTTATTCAAATGTGTTGCCAATAGAAGAAACACAATTGTAAGTAGAAGAGTTAGAGTAGAATAAGTAAGACCTAAAAACATTAAAAACAGATGAGGCAATAATATTATGAAAATATAATTCTATAACAGATTATAGGCTTATAAAAAGTACTGTTAAGACTATAATCTTATTTTAATATGTAAGCAAAATATTAAAGAATTTATGTACAGGATTCATTATTAAACAGACATTATTAAGAGGAATAAAGTGCTAAAATATGTTGAAAATCAGGCAGAAATTTTAGCTAAACCTGATAGTTGTGTGTTAATATAAAGATTCATGCACAAAGTACTACTTGGAGCCCCCTCTGTTGAAACAAATTTGAAATAAAAGCAGGATCCCAGCAAGAAAAAAATTCTGCTCTGTCACATCATGAATATGCTACAAGAATTTCTTAATCTCATTCATTTCTTTTCTAAGATGAGATATGGATACACATAGAATACCCACTTATCACTTGCATACAGCGTAATGGAATTATTATAAAAAATAATTGATAGCTTAACATTAACCAGGAATGTTTAATATTTTTGAGAGAATTCTACCAAATTAAACTGCAGTTTTTCAACTACGATTTTACTTTACCCATGTGTTTAATTACTAAAGTCCAGGTCCAGAAACATCTAAGATGTGCAACTCATTTATCCTATTACAAGTCAAATGTGTAATTATTCAGCAGCAAAGATAGATAAGATGGCATAATTTTTGTTTAAAACCAATACATTATTAACAAAAAATACATTTAAAAATATGTAATAGAACAGAAGATCAAAACAGACTGATAATTTTTTAGAAAGTGCTGTGATCAACTTGCTATATAAACCTGAAATGCAGGGATAAACCCTGCAAGGGATACGCACATTAATAAACTATGTATGCACTAAGTGTAAAGTTAGTTGTTATCAGGAATTGTCCCTCAAACTTAAACAAGTGGCAAATATATATACGACACTCACTTTCTTCATAAATAAAAATAAGGTTGCTAAAAGTTACTAGGTAACTTTAATAATTATTATAGTTTAAAACAATAAACTTACCTCTGCTTCGAACAAGAACATGAGATCCGGGTTCCACTAGAGCAGTTTGAATGAACCATGGCAATCCAAGGCATAGCAAGATATCAAAAACATTGCTACCTACAGCATTTGAAACAGCCATATCTCCTAAGCCTGTAAATATATAAACCATTGGAGAAAAAAAGTTAGACAATATATTTATTACAAAATGGGTTAAGTCATGAAAATCACTCCCGACTGTCCTCTCAGCAATTATAATATATACTTTCCTTCATTTTTAATTTATTCTCTGCTCAATGCAAAAATCTTTTAACCTTTAATTAAATTTGTTATTCGTTTTTTTTAATTAACTTTTTTTTTAAATCTTAATTTTTAAAATTTTCGAAGTCATATTTAAAAACATTTTCATTACAAAGGGGAGAGCCAAGAGCTGTTATTTTAATGGCATTTAAAGCTAAATGTTTCATAATTAAATATTTTATAGTAAAAAAAGAATAAACTACAGTCAAACCTCGATATAGTGAACACAGTTTATAATGAACTCCCGGATAGAGTGAACAAAATGTTCGGTCCTGTGCCTTGCTATACACATATACATATAATGTTATATTTTGTGGATATAGTGAACCAAAAAAGTGAGGAAGTTGGATATAATGAACTTTTTTCTGTCTTCGGCAGATTTTTTTCTTCATTTTTTTTGTAATAATTTTGAAATTTCTACTTCAAAATAAATACATACACCGATTTTTAAAACCATCCATAGAGGGGAATGTAGCGATATGCATTTTTATTATTTGCTTCTTTTATCTCACTTTCCCATCCTAAACAAACCAAGCAGATGTTTCCAACCCAGGCAGATGATGCACCTGTAAGGTGTCAGTGGGATCAATATGCATTTTCCGTCAGAGGGAATGAGTCATTATTTGTCAAAGGGTTGGACACTAATATGTGTTGATAAGGCCCTCACTTCAACTCCTTTTTGCTCTCAGTTCAGTTTAAAAAAAGCCTGCAAACAAGTTTCTCAAATTTAACTATGGCGAGCAGTAAACGTAAAATGTTCTTCCTTGATGATAAAATGGGCATAATCAGAAAAATTGAAAATTGATGCAATCAAGCTGAAAAAATATAAACTATCCAAATCTGCAGTTTGTAACATATGACAAAATAGGCAGTTAATAATTTCTGCTCATGAAAAAAATTTAGATGCCAGAAAGAAGTTGAGAAAAGCAGATGACAAGGATGTTGAAGAAACATTACTGAAGTGGTTCAGCATTAGAAGAAACCACAATCTCACAGTATCTATACAAATGTCGATGAATTTGCTAAGCAATTTTATGAGACTACTTTTATGTGCTAATATGGCAGGTAAGACAGGTTTTAAAAGTGGAATAACAGAGATTCAGGAAAAATTTTCTCAGAGTTGGTAAGTGTTTCTATATCCGATGTTGAAGATTACTTATCAGCTAGAGATTAAAAAAAAATTTTTGTATCCAAGAAGAAGAGTAATAAAAAAATAACGCATTTTTTGCTACTACATAACATTTTACAGTCATTTATTTGAACAATGTGTAATAAAAGGGAGGATTTAAGGAACCATTAGTTAAATTGCCTGCATGACAGATATAGTGAACTCCTGGTTATAGTGAAACAAAATATCGGTCCCTTGAAGGTTCACTATAGGTCTGACTGTATTTTCAAGGTTTGACTGTATTTTCATTCATTAGAAAACTCATAGTTAATTTATCATGCACGAGTAAGAGGAAATTGCATTAATTAGAATTGCCTTTAATTAGATAACATAAAATTTATTAATATGAGTAAGAGCAAAAACTTTAATTTTAAGTAGACATAGGAAAATCGTTATCTTTATTTGAGAATGCAAAATTTTAATATTATGAAAAAGATAAAACATACCAAAATATTATTAACAATAAGGAATATATCAGTATACAGAATACATTTTGTCATAAAGAACTGTACGAAACAAGAATCCTCTACTTAGAGCATATAAAATTATTTAGTATGGATAGGAGAATTATATCTCTCTTTATATGGCTTTTTTTATTTGAATATGTTAAATTCATTTACTACAAAAAATATAAAGTGCAGTAAAATTATAATAAAGAATATTTTTTGAGGAAATAAAATTTTATAAAGAATAAGTTTCCAACAGAGTTTGCTTATTTCTGTAAAATTATTCACACCATAAAAAATAAGTGTAACAAAACATACCATCACGTACTACCAAAAGACTTGAAATAGCATCAGGTATACTAGCTCCAGCTGCCAAAAATGATAATCCCATGATAGTATCTTTAATATTCAAAGTAAACCCTACAGAAAAGAAATTAGTATATTTAATTTTACTTTCAAAAAATTCAAATAACAAATATTAATAATAATAAGCATACCACTTTTTTAATAATATTGAACAAAAGTTTTTTTTTAACTTTTGTGTAACATATAAAGGAGCAAAAGTTCTGTTTAAATAAAAATGCACTCACTAAAAGTTAAATAATATTAACAGATATTTAAAAAGATATGCTCACATATTTTTACACAGCACTTAAAATTAGTTCCGTTAATTATTAAACTCAAGTCCTTTAAAAAAAAAAGCCTGAAATCAATAAACATGCTGCCCATAAATCACCCAAAAATATCGGTCTTCAATCAGGATTTAAATCAAAGGGGATCTTCAAAACTTTTATTGCTTTTTTTATTTCTCCTTAATTTTACAATAATCCTGAAATAAGTCATAAATAATATTATAAAAAATTTATATTTAAAAATTAATTGGTGAAAATTAACAGTACAAGATATATTTTTGTACCTCAATGGAATGTGCATGATCATAAAATAAGTTTTAAAAAAACACAAAAGTTTTTGTTATTAATTTTAAATAACTCTGAAAATACTCCACTCCAAATAATTTAAATAAACCACTATAACTAACTACAATGTAACCAACAAAGGCAAAATTCATAACTTTTTTTAAAAAAATCAAAAAATTGGATTTATTTAAATCATATTTTTCATTTTTTTATATTTACCAGCCAAATCATTTGATAAAATATATTAACAGTACTTACTATTATTTAAAAAAAATAATAAAGCTAAATTAGCTGATATTTCCATCTGAAATTTTCAAAAATTACTATTTAATTATTACAAACTAATCAATGAATAAATAAAATCACAGTTGTTTTTATTCAAGCTAAACATCCTAAAATTGTAAAGGTGGAGGGGGGGGCAATTCATCAGCTAGATACTCAACAAAGAGTAAATTAGTTAAGATCAGAATACATTAACATAGTTTTTCTGGGCAGAAGAAGCTTTTCGTCAATATTATTACACACTAGATAGCAATTAATATGTATTTAGTGTTCAATTAAATGTGAAACCAAATGGGTATAATTAGAACATATTTATCACCAGTAAATTTTCTTATGTTTACAATAATTTTGAATTATAAATATAGCTAGTGGAAAATTATAATTTTGCAGTTAGACATTACTCTAATCCACGTTTAGTCTCTTATTTATTTATTAGTCTATTCTGAAATATAATAATTTACCCTTTCATTATTTCTTTGGATAAAATCTTCTTTATCAATGAAATCAAATTTAAACAAGACTCCTCTTATGCTAAAGAATATATTTATAAAAATATTTTTGACTTAATGATTTAATTAGAAAAATTAAATTAATTACATTTAATCAATTATTTATAAAAAAAAGTTACAGTTGATTTAAAGTCAATGAATTTTTAAAAAAAAAATAAAGTGATTTAGATCACGATTTTAATCATGGTTTAAGTTACACCAACCCTGATTATAACTACTAAAATATTTCAAATATAACTAATACAAGTCTAACTAATACATAAATAATAAAACAAGTGCTAACTATTACAAGTATAAGTTATAACTAATATAAGTATTATAAGTTATAACTAATACAAGTATAAGTTATAACTAATACAAGTATAAGTTATAACTAATACAAGTATTAAAAATTAAAATTATTAATTTTTAACTAATATTTCATTTATAATTATTATACTAATACATTGTAATATGCAGTGTATTAATATATATGTGTATACAGTGTATTAATATACATATGTATACAGTGTATTAATATATATTGTAAAAATTATATGATACACAAGAAATGAAAGAAAATCAGTGTTTACCTATTATAGTTATCATCCAAACGAGTATATAAGATAAAGCACCAATCCAAACGCATGATGCCAGAAATGTTACAAAAAACCATTTTTCCCACCTTTTTCTTCTACAGTCAGGAATTGTGAAGTAACAAACAATTAAAATGGGAATGGAGAGGAGCCAAAAACTCTTTCTGAATCCACCTTCGGGAGGAGAAAAGACTGAATTTTCTTCTTCTGCTTCTTCAGTCAGAGGTTGAGGTGATTCAACGCTTGTAAGTTCTTTTGGAATAAAGAAAAATTATTATGAGGTGAAAATTCAAATTCATCATTCCGACTTAGATACAAATAAAACTGAAGATTAGAAATAAATGAAACAGCTAACTTTTATTGCTAGTAATTACTTCAACATTGCCAAAAAAAAAGATTATTTTTGGCATATTTTTTATACTATTTACACGCAAAGTCTAGTTACACGAGAAGAGAATAAGAGGACGCTATACCACGGGATAAACTTTTCATCGCGAATTCACTTTCACCTCCCTAAGTAATCTGAAGTATAGAGAAAGTGAGTTCAGGCAAACCTAGAGTAAGTTGTGAAGTTTCAATTGCTGAAAATACAACTTCAAAATATCAAAATGCAAACAAATTATGAGAAGACAACTTAGGATTACAAAATGGGAGATAATTTACTTGCATTTTAATGTTTTGAATTTTTTTCTGCAATTGAAACTTCATGGCTTACTTGAGGTTTGCCTTTTTTTCCAATACTTTAAATTTTAAAAGCAATGTAAAGTTTTTCTTGCCGTAAAGCGTCCTCTTAAGCTTGAATGTGAGCATTATCTTAAATTGGTCAAAACAACAAAAACTACGCAAATATGTGAAAGTTTTATCACTTGTGCTACAGATAGGAACAAAACTAATTTATTTGTTGAGAAAAGGAGAAGGAATGCAAAATGCATCTAGTTTTCAAACTCACTTTAGTATGCTTTAAATTATATCTGATTAAATTATATCTTAAAAAAGTTTAAGCTATACCTCTTTAAAAAATTAGATTGTTTATTTAATACAGTGGATAATTCAAATGTACTACACACATGAACACTTAAAAACTTTAAAATTTTTGTTAATTGTGCTACAATTATTGATGGTAGATGCTTTCTTTTAAAATGAGGGACCCACACTTAATTCAAGGTTGCATCCAATTTCTTTCTCTCACCACAAATTTGCTTCTCTTTAAGTTGTTTAACAAAAATACACTGGCTGCACAAAAAGTATTGGTACACACATATCTGAACAAGTAACTTTTCTGATAAAGTTTCAGCTCAATTTTAAAGATTTTTCATATATGATTTATAATTTTCAAATAATTATAAATATTTTATGCATGGGTTATTATATTACACTTAAGTGAAAACATAATTAAAACAATCAGTTAGAACAAAATATTTTATGTGAAAAAACGAAGGATACTTAAATTTGGTGGCAAAAACAAAAATTACCTGAATTGGAAGTTTTATCACAGTTATCTAAGAAGCCAGCTTGTGTCAAATCTGGGAGAGCATGATACGATACTCCATTTATAGGTTCTGGAATTCTGCAGTTCAAACGAGACAAACATTTTATACTTTTGACCCATCTTTCAAATCGTTCATTAAAAAACATAAAAATAATATAGACAGCATATAGCACCAGAAAAATAGCAGATTCTAACCTAAAACAATAAAAGCAATTACATTAGTTAAACACAAATCAAAAATTATTAGGATTATTTTCAGGAACATAGAAATATAATGTTTCATGCATTTTGTAAAAATTAATGAAAATACCATATAAAAGATTTCAAGAAAAAGTAAAAAAAGAAATTCATATTTTTAAAAATAAGATCAATAAACCATTGATAAAAATTTTAATTATTTTTTAAATTATATATAAATTTTTGCACAAGAAAATGAGATTCGAATATTGCATATGTTGCTTGGGCACACATAATTATTTACACAAATAAAGGAAATTTTATAACAAAAAATTAATAATTTATTTTTAACATTTAATATTTTTATGTGATTTTAATGCTGTGATTTTCAGTTATATTCCTTCAATATGACTAGAATATAAAAAAAAATATTGCAAAAATTTAAAAGATTACAAAATGTACTTTCTGTTGACGACACTCTAATGTTTATAGAGTAAGTACACCAAATCTTTTCTGAATGCTGGTTGTCACAAAAATGAAAGAGACGATATCATACTTAAAAAAATAATGATAAGGAAAACAATTGGGAGATGAGTAAATAAGCTTGTGAAATGAAAGCGAAGAGTGATGATTACTTGAAGAATTCTAACCAGTATATTTAAAAGTTATCCTTGAAATGTTTTTAATTTTAAATAAATCTTTTTTATATATGATTTGATTGGTCATTTTTGAACAAATGAACTACATCAATGCAGAAAAACAAAAGAATACCACTAGACCATTTAGACCACTATGCACATCGATTTTCCTCGAATTTAACTTTGCTATTATAGAAGTTCTTTACAACTAAAACCTTGAAGCATGACATTTTGCATTACATAGAATTTTGTGTTAAAATCAATTTGATTACCTATTAAACATGGCAATATCACGTATCAATCCATATTAAGGCTTTAAAATAGTTTTTACATACAAATAGTTTTTTTTAAAGTTTTTTTATTAGGAAAAACAAAAATATCTCCCTGTGCACCAAGGAATATCGCACAGGGCCCGAAGGTACAACTTAAGTACAGCATAATAACACAAAATTTTTACGTATTAAAAAACAAAATTAAAAGAAAGAAGAAAACAAAAAAAAATAAAAAGAAGAATGAGAGAAGTTAAATAACTGAAAGGATAAATTAAAAAAAAATTTAAAAGTCTCTTTTTTCACTAGATCAGTCAAAATCGGGGGTCAACTATTATCCAAGTCTCTGCAGAGATTGTTCCTTTCTTTTAAGACCATCAAGCATTCGGGGAGAATGTGAAACGGGCTGTGAATCCCGGTGTTGCAAATACGCACGTCGCTGTTTTTTAAATGAAATCGATGGATACTGAAGTTACCGTGTCTAGTGAAACACTGCATAAATTTACAATCAGTATAGAAACAATGGCTCTTAATTCTGTTGAGGATTGAAGGAAAAAATTATTTAGTTTTTGCAATTGGAAGAGGACACAAAACTTGAGTTCCATACTGTGTTGATATTTTGTCTGGCAATGGACTTAAAATAAGACTTGGGAAGACTGGTATTGAGTTTATTACTGAGTGATAAGGAAGATTTAGCCAGAAAGTCGGCTTTTTCATTGCATAAAGACCAGTATGACTCCTAACATGTGTGAAACAGAATGATATATTTTTAATACTGCACATATGAATAGAAGTCTGGACTTCCACAATGAGTATTTTGCAGCTAGTGACATCCTGCAGACCCAGGCAGAACGACAAAGAGTCACTGCAAATTAAAAAACTTTTAAAAGGCTTATCTATGGCATCTTTAACAGCAAGATTAATGCAGAGTAATTCCGCTTGGAAGATTGAGCAATGATCATCAATGTGGTGTGTTTGATGGCCCACTTCAAGACCATTTTGAAAGCAAACATGTGCATGACCAACTTTTTCGTTAACCTTACTTCCATCTGTAAAATAAGTAAAATCATAGTCTTCTTCCTTAATGTTGTTAAATGCAATGAGAGGAGCATACAAATTCAAGAGGAGAATACAAATCCAAGAGGAGAAAGAGGAGAATACGAGATCTCCTCGATATACAAATAGTTTAAAACAAAAAAATATGCTTTTCACTATTTAATATGTATAGAAAACAAATTTAATTATTAAGAATTTTATTGTCAAAATGCATAAAGTATATTTTTATGTGTTATATAGAATTTTGTGTTACATCAATATGATTACCTATTAAACACTGCAATATCAGGAACAAATCCATATTATAGCTCTAAAATAATTTTTACATACAAATAGTTTAAAACATAAAAATATGTTTTTCAGTATTTAATATGTACAGAAAACAAATTAAATTATTACTAACATTAGAACTAAAAACAGACAAATTTGTCTATTTTGGTTTGCTTAAGATATTTTAAAGTTAATGTGATTCATAGAAAATTTCGTTTTATTGAAGTGTTATATAGATCTTTTAATGTAGTTTTAAAATTAAATGTTGGGTTTTTGCCTTCACTCTATTTTGACAATCTTATTTTTCAAATTCCATAAAGTTATGTTTTAAAAATTGTATTTTAAATTAAACTTACTTTTTTTTTATCTGAAAATTTATATGTCAGAAAACTTTGCAATATAACAATAAATTATCATGCTGTATTAGAAAGTTGAATGAATTAAAATATTACATCATAAACTACAAACAAATAAAAAATATTAAGATTTTGATTAATACTTATCATATATTTTGACTTTGGGAAACTGAATAAATGTTTATATCTCTTTATAATGTCCAAGATACCTCTTTATAATGTCAAAGAACTAAAAAATTATTTTTCAGAACTTAATGACAACATTCATTCATAGTAATAATAATTATAAAAATTATAGACTTGCCAGTTCACACTCTCATCCAGTAAAACAAAAAGAAGAGCCAAAATACTAATTAAATAAAACACACAATCTCTAAACATTGGCCAACAATTCAGATGAATAGCCTAAAAATTAAGAAAAAGAGTGTTTTCAAATGTGTTAAAAAAAATCAATTTATGTGTAGCTAAAAGATAATCAGAAACAAAAAAAATCATCATAAAATATATCATTTTTTACGGTGAACTTTGAATAATTATGAAATATATAAAATTTTATGGTGAAAAAAATACAGTATTTATTATTTTTAATTAAACTGCCTCAAGTTCATTATATGAAGCAAAATAGTTTGCCTCTTTCCACGGCTGCCAACAAAAATGAAAACAATTAATAATTTTTCGAGTAAATTCTTTAATATTGATATTCTTTTATAGATAGTAGTTTTCATCAAATATGAAAATTATACAGCTATTACTTAATTCACTTTTAAAAATCAAAATACTACGGCAAGAACTTATTAGTAAAAATCACCCTAAAATTTCATAAGAATTTATAACACTTATTTAATTTTTAACAATTTATAACATATAGAACAACAAATATAGGACAGAAAGTGGAAATTCGACCAGTGACAAATTTTTTCAACTTAATTTTTTTTCTTTTCTTTTTGTTTTGAGAGACAACAAAACACTTTTCTAAACAATTTTATTATTATTGTAAAATTTTAACTCTGATTAAAAGCGAGTGATTTGATAGAATCAAATACTGAGCTTTTTAAACTTCAGAAAACTTTTTCACAATCAAAAGAGGCATCTGTCTATTTAACTTATGAAACAGAAATCTGTATTCTGGCACATTATGGCTGCATTGTTGTAATTGACATGGAAAAAATCTTGAAGAACATTAAGCTAAATAGATATAATAAGTAAAATATTCAATTAAATTTAGCATTTATTATAAACAATCAAATAATTTAGAACTGAGATGGTATATGATTAAGTAAAAACAATGATAAAATCGCAATTATTACATTCATTAAAACCAAGACAAGTTTTGATGCCACATGATTTCCTGCTGATGAAGATGCACCATATAGCACAAAAATGCATCTACGTATAAAATATTATGTACCATTTGTGGTTTTACTCCAGTCACTTAGAAGTATACAATGCATGAAATAATTACAAAACGATGCATTATATAACTACATTGGATCATTACATTTCAGGCAAATAGTTACAATGAAGTAAATTAACCCATTTTAGGCCAACATAGAAATTTAATAAAATGTGACATTATTTTCCTCGGAATATGCATGAATTACATTTATTAAGACTCAAAAAAATAATGTTCATGAAAAACATTTTACTTGAGAAATAAAATTGCGTATGTATGCACCATCGGCCAAATCAATGGACATATCACTTAGTTGATTACTAGTTCTTTTATGAAATTAGTTTCATTTTTATTTCATTTACAGAATTAGTAACTTTAATCCATTATAAAAACATAAGATTTATCTCAAATGGAATAATTATACATTAATTATACAATTAATTATAGTTTAATTATTAATTATACAGTGAATTCGCGATAACTCGAATCTGATAGGACTGACGAAAAACTTCGACATATCGGAAGTTCGACTTACCGTTAGTTTCGGTTTTGGACTTTCAAAACATTGTCGGATTATTTAATTAATGCTTATTAATTACAAATCTTCTAAATGCTTACAATATTTAACATCATTTTTCTGACAAGCCATTTACGATAAGACTGTTTGAAGCACTTTATGATACCCTGGTCCATCGGCTGCAACTTTGCTGTTGTGTTTGGCGGGAGAAACTGCAAGTTTACTGCTTTCAAATTAGGTAGATCACTATGCGCTGTGCATTTATCCATAAAGAGTATCACTTTTCTTTTTTTAGCGAAGAATTTCCGATCCAATTTTCTTACATAGTCTTCAAATAAAACTGATGTCATCCAAAACTTTTTGTTAGACTTGTAATCCAAAGGATACGTTTTTACATTCTTGAAACATCGGGGATTTCGGTATTTTCCGATAACAAGTAAGGGCAATTTCTCTGTCCCAGACGCATTTCCTCCAACTAGGACAGTCAAACGTTCCTTGCTCATTTTACCCCCTGAGCAGTTTTCATCCTTAAACATCATAGTCTTATTTGGAAGACATTTAAAAAATAAACCCATTTCATCAATATTGAAAACATCATTTTAACTGTATCCTTGAAGTAAATTTGGTAACGTTTCATTTAACCACTGTTCACATACTTCAAGAGGGACAGCTTTAGCTTCTCCATGAAGAGTGCGAAAGACATTGTGTGTGTTGCAAAGGAAGGGGCAAGATATCAGCTGCTAGGTTTTTTTTTTTGCTTTAAAGGATCCAAAAAAAAATCGAGTTAAAGGGAGTAAAGTTCGAGTAATCGAGAATAATTAACATGAAATTGAGGATAAAAGGGTCGGGACCTCATAAAAAAATCGAGTTATAGTAATATTCGAGTTATCGTACTTCGAGTTATAGCGAATTGACTGTACATAATATAATTACACATTAATTATCCATATAATTATACAAAAAAGCAAATTTGTCATTAACCATTTCAAGTTAAGAAATTATCAAAGTAAGTTTGAAAGTTTCTCAACAGAAAACAGCTCCAATTAAATTATTTTATAGATTCCCTTGACAAAAGCATACAAATAAAATTAGTGAAAAATACGCATCACAGTATTAAAATCAAATATTTATTGAAATGGTGTGCTTACACACCTTTGACTAAAAATGGGTTACAGTAATTAAAATTATAAGAAATATTCGCATAATGGATTGATAATTACAAAATAGATACATAATTATAGTTATATAATAGATATATATAGTTACATAAATATAGTTATAAAATGGATATACAGTTGATAGTTAAAAATTATAAGAAATATTAGCATAATGAATGGATTGAAAGATGCTCTTAAATAGTGATAAAAAAACATGGTATAATACACATATTAAAAATTGAAAAAGAAATATATCCTACTTTTCCAGCAAAGAGACCACATATACCTATCACAAATGCAATATTAAAAACAGCAGATCCAACTACAGTTCCAATACCAATATCATCCTAAAAGTTCAAATCATATTTTAGAAATAGCAATAATAAACAGGAAAATTAACATAAGAGTACACTTATTATTACACTTTCAATGCAATCTACAATAATTATAAAATCACAATTCAATAAAAATTAATCATGAAAAAGAATGTGAATGATTCCATTTTTTTTAAAATAAAACTAACAATACAATTTGCTGCAGTTTAAAACAATGGTTTACTGTGAGCATTCTTAAAAAGTAAAACAAACAAATAGAAGAAATGAAAAAAAAAATTCTGTGCTACAAAGTATGAATTGCAAAGTAGCTTACAAGAAATAAGCATAAAAAATTCAATTATGATGCAAAAATTTACAATTAGGCAGATGCAATATAATTCACAAATTTAAAACAAAATTTGAAAACTAATTTTGGATATAAAAAAGAAAAATATATATAAATTTTTAAATATCTTCAAATATTATAGCAAATAATAACAATGAAATAAAGATTCACAATATAAGATAAAAATGATTGAAATTTTAACTCTTATGTTAATGTTAAAATTTTTGCAGTTTAACTTACATCAGCTGAAAAAAGGATTTTTTATCAAAATAATAAACATACATTAAATTAGAATAATGATTAAAAATAAATAACTAATAGAGTTAGAAAAAATTTCTAATGACTAAAATTAAGATCAATAAGGGAAATTTTTGAAAGAATAAAAGTTGATTACATGATTTAATGAAAGAATATTCCAATCATACACCAACCTACTTTGGCAACAAAGACCGCAATGACTGCAGTTGCAAGTTCTGGAGCTGAACTACCAGCAGCCATAAAAGTTGCTCCAGCAACATCTGATTGCATATTGAGCGCTTTAACAGAAGGTGAATATAAAATCAAACAATGAAAAAAGAGAAATAATATTACAAACAAACCAAAATAATAAAAATCTTAATGTACACAATTACGATAAAAATATAAAAGCTAATCAAATATTAAACAACATATAATAATTAAAAAAATTAGTTGATAAATAAAAAAAAGTATGTTGATAAATTGCCTACGAGAAGCTAAAATAAATAATATTCAATGACATTAAAACATGTCATTCCATAGGCTCATAAATTTAGATGCATGCATGACAATCAACATATTACTGTATGAAAGATAGCTAAAAAATATGCAGGGTGTTTCGTAAAGACCCTCTTTATGCAATTTTATAATCTTTACCAAAAATGAAAACAAAAAAGTGCACACTTTAGAAGTGGTACATTAATACTTAAATAAGACAAAAACAAAAACGCTTTTTAAATCTGACAAATTATAGCAGAGGAAGGCATATGTAATAAACATTAAAACAGGTTTATTGAAGGTTAAACCTTGAGGGTGTTTCTAATAATTGCCTTTTAACTCCACTCTGTTTCCCTCGGCAATCAAATATGTCTTATTGTTTATTACAATCACATTTCTATGCTATAATTTGTCATATTTCGAAGGCGATTCTTTTTCTTTGGTAAAATATTTCTTTGTGATCCTCAATATGTAAATTTTTTTGCATTACTTTTCTATGAGGATTCTAAACATACATATTAAGGATCCTCTTTACGGTATATAATTTAAAGGAAAGGCAGCATTAAAGTATATCAACTAAAATTTGACAATGTGCGATCATACTACATTAGAAATTTGTGTTAGTAAAAATACATACATTTGCACATTTTTTCAAGAGAAGGCACAAAATATTCATCACAAATAATAGCAAGTCCAAGAAACATGTATAAGGACACAAAAATATGCACAGCAAGTCCTCCATTTCTCCGCGTAGGATAATCAATTAAAGGACGAGGGAACTGTTCAATATCAGGCTTTGTGCAATTCTCATTTTCTGATAATGATTCAGTAAAATCTGAAACAGATAAAAAGAAATATATTTTATGAAATGATACTAATATTAATTATCAGTCAACTAGTACCTAAGCAACCTATTGAGGTATTTTAAAATAGAGACATTTGCTTCAAATTAAAGAACTAATAAGGGGAAAACATATTAACAAATTTGGAAGACACAGAAAGGCATAAACAATGTTTCTAACAAATTTTCAGGGATGAAATTAGATGAGAATACTTTAGCACTAAGAGCGAATTAAAGTATGTTTACATAAAATTCTAAAATTAATTTGTCTTAAATATCACCAAAATGCCGTTTAACAGATTCTTGAATTAAGAAAAGGAACTGTCTGAAATGTTTGTCCTGGAGTATAATGTTCTCTTAAGAGCTTCTTATTTTCTACTCTAGACAAATAGATTATAGTGAAACGTTTACAAAATATTACTGAATCAACCAAAAAACAAGAAACATGTGCCATAACATGTGCCAAAATGCCGTTTAACAGATTCTTGAATTAAGAAAAGGAACTGTCTGAAATGTTTGTCCTGGAGTATAATGTTCTCTTAAAGAGCTTCTTATTTTCTACTCTAAACAAATAGATTATAGTGAAACTTTTACAAAATATTACTGAATCAACCAAAAAAAAATGTCATTTTAGGAATAACTTGATGTTCAAAGATTTACAATGCTGAATAGATTTTTTTTTTTTAAGCAGTAAAACAGATTTCAATCAACTACTTTGTTATGAATTTAAATATATAGCCTTTATTCTAATACCTTGAAATATTTACAATGATGGATAATTAATTATAAATTGGTAAAACAGAGCTCAACTATTTTGTTATGAATTTTAATATATTGCATAAATGAATTATTATCTAATTAAATAAATTACTATATAATCGTTATATTATTATTACATAAAAAATAGTGCAACAAACTACTTTGTTATAAATTTTAATATGCAACCTTTAACATATTATCTTGAAAGATTTACAATACTGGAGAGATTTTTTTTTTTTAAATGTAACAGAGCTCAATTACTTTGCTATGAATTTTAATATATTGCTTAAATAAATTATTATATAATTGTTTATAATTTCTTAATAGTAGTAATAAATGAAAGAAAAATTACTTTGAAGAGAATATTTTACAAAAACTTACCATAAAAAGATAAGAGTTTTCGATTGAAAATTGAGCTGATTGAATTTTGATCTGATTTGTCTATTGAAAGAGAGCCATCAGGAGGTGAGAATGAAACTGTTGAATAAGCATAAAACACCAGACAAAAGCCAGTATATAAGGATATAAGACAGGCAATTATTTCTCTTCTTAGCTTAGCCATTCTACCTGGAAAAAAATTAAATTAATGCTAATGCAATTATTATTAAATAAAAAAAAATATAATATAAACAAAAATTGCATTTAAAATGCAATATAATTGTAAAATATGACATTGAATATAGAGATCATGGCTGTTTATCGAAAACTTCGTCGTCTTATGATGTAATGTTTTTTAATGAATAATTTGCTATTTTTATAGCTGTTGTAAATTTGAAACAGTTATTCATGACAGATAATTTCTAGCCAGCTCCCTCTTAAGCTAATTATGAAAATTACCCCAATTATGGACATGAAAAAAACCCGCAGTTATTTGAAAAGAAAAACGTTCTTGATTCAATTTTTTAAAGCTTGAAAAGTTATTTCAACATTGCATTTTTTTGGGATTATTCGTAGATTGTAAGATTTTCCTTTAGTTGGAAAAATCTTGCCTAATTAGTGATTCTACAAAAAAGCTTTTTTTGCCAGATATTTATATTTTTTTTATTTGACAGATATTTTTTAATCAGTTAAGAGCACTGGTAATAAAAAAAAATTTAAATTTTAAAGAAAATTACAATTGTCAATCAAAACCCGAAAATTCAATAAAATACAATATGAATACTATTTGGGGGTATTTTTCTTTTATATTATTATTAGAAACTGCGAAGTATTTCGTATTGCAGGATGGTTAGGGTGGGGGAAGCTCTCCAACAGAATCCAATAGCATACGAAGTCACAACTTGGGACAGCTAGCGTTGATTTGATGAAAAATTGTGTAAACTATTAGCAAAATCCTAAACATTCTTGAATTGAAATACAAGAATCCGAAGCATTCGATCCAAGAGATCTCTCGTCCTTGCTTTCGCCTAATATTATTCAGACATTGTCTTTTCTCATTGATTTTCATCAAGTTCAAAAACAGTGACGTTTTCAGAAATGAATTATTAACTTTTCTAATAAATAAAAATGCAATCCTCCCACGTTTTTTGTAAAATTTACAATAGGACCATTGTCTTTTTGTAAATTGTATTTGGCGACATGCATACAAATCCTTGCTTGATTTTAATTCCGTATTCTGTGGGGAAATTTCATAATTAAAGTTAAAGATAGATAGTACACATAGCTTAAAATAATGACAGTTTTATCCGAAAGCACTCTTATTTTTTGCACAAATACTTCGAAGGACACATTTATAACAATATAATTTCAACTTTCGCTACTTTCTTCATTAAGCTACTTTCTTTTTAAGCTACTTGTCCTCATAAGAGAAAATTATTTTTAAGTTCGAAAAATTTTCATGTGTAAAAGATAATTGAATACTTGCCAGCGACGTTACGCATGGATCCTCCAATCAGGTATGACACATGAGCGTAAGGCCGCTTGCAAATATCCAATTGGATACCTATAGGTAACGTCATCCTAGGTAAATCATGGCATTTGTCGATTCAGAAGCCAATCAGGTTTGACTCACACGCGTGACGTCGCCTACAGGTATCCAATTAAATTTAATTTAAATCACATGGTTACGCATGATCACTTCACTTCTTCTCAAATTGCAAGTACCCAATTAAATCTTATCCAAAAATTGATTCAGCGTTATAATAAACCCAAGCTTTACAGCTATATCGTTAACACGCCATGCATAACCACTCAACCATGAGATTAGTTACGAGTACTAAATTAATACAAAAATATCGATAAAATAAAAATTGAAAAATAAACATACTGACTTTTTAACGAGTGCGTTAAAAACAAGAAGGGAAACAGTTTCAGTTAATTTGATTGAAAGTAATTTTAACTTATAACGAATGAACAAGAAACTATTAATTTTAATAAAATTCAAAACAAATTTGAAGCAGCTTAGATTTAGATCACTGCATCAAATTAAAAAGGATTAAGTATGTTAAAAAAATAAACTGGGACATCTCCCACGATGATGAAATAATAAGTAAATAAAACTGCAATTTATTAATGAGCTAAGTAATTAATATTTATTAATTTCTCAGATATCTATAAATAGAAAAAAATAATAATACTTCTACAACCAAAACTTACATTAAAAAAAAGCAGACAGATAAACAACGTGAAAGTGTAAGTGAAATGAAGCTTTTACTTCAAACAAAGCCAGCACGACCTATTTTCATAAATATCACTCATGCGGGCATTTTAATTTGAGAAGTAATGGAAAAGAATTTAGGTTTAGGAAACACCATGTTGAAATTCTCAAAAAACAATGATATTATTTTCTTTTTTTTTTTTTTATCTCTACATACTTCTACGGTATGCATATTTAAAAACATGAAGTTGAAAAGCTTAAAAATTTCAAAATTATAAATTTTCCGTTTAACTTTGAAATTTTAAAAATTATATTACATTATAGTTATTTATTCCTTACCTTTACATAATTCGACAGTATGCACATCTGAAAACATAATGTTGAAAGCTTTTAGTTACAGGAACTACGTTGAAACATTTAAAAATAGATTATTTATTGATTTACCTTATATTTTCATTATTCGAAATTAATTTAATTAATTTTAGTGCAATCGATATTTTAAATAAAGTTACGAAATCAGACAAAAAAACGTATACTTTCTCCGATTTTTTCGACGAACCTCCTTTTTTGTGGACCACCAAAATTTAGAATGTAGGAAATTCGGTCCAAATCTTAAAGTCACGAATCGAAAGTTTGGATCCCATTAATGTTAATTTTATTTCTTGTGTATTTCACAATATCTCGAGAACTTTTTTTTTAACAAATTAAAAGATTTTTGCACACAATTATAAAATTCATTTAACAAAGGATAATATCATGCAAAAAATATGCTTTTTTTTAAATTATTTATTACTTGCTGTCATCTCATTTAATAATAGTATTAAAAAAAAATTTGAATTGTAAGGTATACAAATCTTCACATAATTTTAAAGATTGTAATTTTATATGACAAAATACGAAGTTTGAACATAATCAGTCGAATCAGTCTTGAGAAATTGATTAGAAAAAAAAAGACATATTTAACATTTTGTTTACTTTCGACCGATTTAGTTCAAGTTTTTTAATTTGCCACATAAAATTACATTCTTTAGATTTATGTAAAAATTTGTGTATCTTGCAATTCAAAATTTTTTCGACTTTTATTAAATAAAGCAATAAAAAATAATTATTAAAAATCAATTTTTGCATGGAATTATCTTTGAAGAAACGAATTTTAGAATTATAGGCAAAAATTTTTCGATTCACTCAAGTTCTCCGAGGCGAGCAAAATACGTAAAAAGTAAAAATAACTTAAAAGGGTCCAAATTTTCAACCGATCTCCTGATCAAACTATCCGGACCATTTTTCCCAGATTGCGGCTACTCCTATGTTTAGTGGATTATAATCCGTCGCCTTCGAAAAAAAGGCTGCAGTTCAAGCATCAAATTAGGTTGTTTATTCAGAAAAAATAATTTTGTCTGAGTAGGGGAGAGTGGGGTCAATTGTAACAGGGTACGATTGTAACAGAGCAAAAATTTCGAGTGTCGGGTTCTAGATTTGGTCCCTAGGTGGCGCACAAGGTGTATTTAATAAATCTACAAGTGCACCCCTGCTGGCAACCATTTTTATGTACTTTTGAAAGAGTTACATCACAAAAGATGTTTTCACGCTACTTAAGTACTTTTTTGGTATTAGAATATTATATTGTAACAAAGTAATTTTGTTTAAACAAATAAAAATTATTAACCGAATATATAAGTGGACACCTTAATTAACATTTCAGTAAAAAAATTAGTTTTTTTTTAATTAACTAGCATTGTTTTTAACAAATGAAGCTGAAATGGCGTCTTGGGGACAATTGTAACAATAAGTAAAGGGACGATTGTAACAGCTGAAAATAAATAATCTTATGTTTACAAAAAATTACTTAACTCTTTAAGAACCACCTATAGACTCCTATATCATTTATATCATGTTGCATGTGCATTATTTTATTAGTCACCTTTCACAGCATAAATTGAAATTTTTAACCCCTTAAAGTTAAAAGTTTAACCCTTTAGGTCTCTGCTCATTATTATTTTTACTCCTAAAATATCACTACTATTTTGATCAATAAAAAAATATATCACAACTATGATAATATGTATAATTAACTATGTTTTAGTTGAATTTACGAACTGTTACAATTGACCCCGTAAGTTGGGACAATTGTAACAAGTGCACGACTGTAAAAAATGGGTAATAACTAATACAATAACATTTAAAATAAAGGGATTTATTTTTTTTTCTAGTTGAGGATAGTCTATTTTACTCGTCTGTTAATTAATACTAATAATATATTGGATTTTTTGTTAGTTAAAAATATTTAAGCATAAAATGTTACAATTGACCCCACTCTCCCCTACTAATTTAAAATATTGTCGTCAGCATATTTAAAATCACACCCTCGAAAGATTGTATCTGTATGTGAAAATCTTAATAATTGTTGAGCATTAGATCAAAAATTACTCAAGGTGATTCGTTTTTCTTTTCTTTTTTAAGCACTGTACAATTAAGAATTATAAATTGTTGTTTTTTTCAAATATTTTATAAAAAAATCAGTTTAAGAAATTAATTTCAGCAAATATATTTATGTACAAATATTGAAATAGAACTAAACTTATATAAAAAAAAAAAAAAAAAAAACGTAAAACACCAATAGTTCTCGCGCACAATCGCACATTCATAGATATCTTATAACAAGAAGATTTATTTTTTCTTTTGTGAATTCATAAACTAGGAAACAATATTCAAGAGATACATTAAATTCCTTAACATTCTCTTTTTAATGGTCTCAGCAATTTAAAAAAATTTGGTTTTGTATTTATATGAATCAAAAGGTATTAAAGGCTTTAATTCATAAGGGCTTTAATTCATTCATCAAGGCTTTAATTCATTGATTAAAAGTATAACTAAATAATTCATAATTGCATATTATTCGTAGAGAAACGCATGAATTTTACATAAATGCAATGCATATTGCCTTTTACAATACTTCAAAAACTTGATATTT